ATAGATCATGGTGCTTCATGTTTACATGGACAGAAAGCTATAGATAGATAGACATAATTGAATTAAGACTTTAATTGTACCCAATGTGTCTATATGTAGACTAGTATTTGACACTGTCAGGAATTAACAGTATTTTGTTTCCAGTAGGAGCTCACGAGGTTAAATTCCAGGATAGCAGAGAAGGAAGTCAGGAAAATTTCCTGTTGTTTTTGTGGTTGATTTTTTTTTTTTTTAATAGTTATGCCTTGGGAATAAACTATCTCCATTTCCCCTTGGCCTCAATTTTTTAAAATGGGTAATGTTATGACAGGTTTGATGAAGATAATACTCTCTGGAGGCAGGAATCAGTGACCAATAAGAGGGAGATGATGTTTGGTTCCATGGGGCCATTAAAAATAAAATGTGGCCATTATCTTACTAGACTCTGGTGTGGCCATGTGCTCTTGGAGCTATGGCTTTCGCCATGTTTCCTAACTTTGGTCTCCTCCCCTCCCTTGGGAAGGTGAATCCTCTGTCTCTCTCTCTCTTTCCCTCTCAAATTTACTTTCTAAATAAACTATGTTTTCCAATCTAAAAATAAATAAATAAATAAAGTGTATATAGGCTTCCAGACCTTATGGTTCTTTGAATCTTTTTAGAATGACATAATTTACCAGGGATTCTTTCGGCATTATTTATTTGCATTTGGTTTTAGCTCCTAAAATTTTAGATGATAAGTAAATCCTTTCATAGATTAAAAATAATTGAAAAGAGCCCTATTAAATTCAGGCTTGTTCTTTTGCTTAATTATTTTGACCATTTGGGACAGCATCCATAAAAGCATTTAATTCTCATACCACTAGTTTGATTTTTTTTTTTTCCAGAAATTATTTAATTCTCCTGACTCAGAATAAGACATGAGTTGTTTGATTCATAGGACGGTTGTTCTGTGCCCGCAAGTCCCTGACTTTTGTGGTCGGTCTCCTTCCACTGACCCTCACAGCCTCTTCCTCCTGTCTCCTTCATTAGGCGTGCCTCTTGTTCGTTGTGTCCTGATGGGCACACACCACAATGTTGAATAGAGAGAAGAAAGAGGAACTCTAATTCCCAGAGGGTACCTTCTACCTCTCCAGCGGAGCAAGCTCAGAGGGCTCCGTTAAGTAATAAACTAACGGTTTCTAAGATCAGAGCATTTCATGATATGCACAGTGGCAAGGAGGATGAAGGGAATAAGCTCTGCAGGATAAGAGAATGAAGGCATGATGCCCAGCCATAGATGAAAAATGCCTAATGAGAATTTTGGATAACAAGCACCTAGAAAGAGATGAAGCCCACCATAGAAAACTTTCACAATGCGAGGACTCCAGGGAGAGCTAGAAGCGACGAAATATTCTAGCCTTCTGGTTTGGATCAGAGCCTGATCTTCTGGCCCAGCTAATCCATCAGTCCATCCATGCACGCATGCATCCATCCATCCATCCACCCATCTATCCATCCACTCACTCACTTATTCATCCCTGTATCAGTTACCTAATGAGTTTTATACAGTGTGCCAGATACTGACTTGGCCTCGAGGGCTCTTGTGTGAAACAGACACAGCCACTACCTTTGAGATGCCCACAGTTTACCATCAGGAGGACTTCCCTATCTCCAAACCTAAGTCTAGCAATGTCCAGCACAGACTGAGTTATCAGCGATGGAGAGGCAAGTCTGTTCTCAGTCCACCCTCCCTAGATCTGCCTTCCAGAAAAAGAACTATGTTCTTGAGCTGCGTTGCTCCCTCCGTTTAAGTCCGGTGAGGCATCCTGCCGTCTAAATGCTTGGCTTAGCTTTTTCATATTCCTCCACACCTTAAGGCAAATTGTTATGCAAACACTTCTCATGTGATTTTATTTCTTTTTCCTAGTTTGACGGAGATTAAAAATAAATTACGAATTACAGTGGATAATAGATATTCTCACCGAAAAGTAAATCTCTATGTTTCTTTTTGCCTAGTTAAATAATTGACTTATCTTCAGGTGAACTCGGGGCGTAGCTATATTTTTAGTCCTACCAGGTGTGAGCGGTAGGATATAATTTATGCGTGTGCTGGATGGTTCTGTGGAAGTGATGCAGCCCTTGATGCATTGAGCCCGAATTTTATCTGATCTTTGTTTACTGCATTGATTATGTTTTTCATTTGATCTTCCTTTAGTTTGCCCCAAGCTACTCGAATTCCATGTCACTTGTTTTTTGTTCTGGCTTTTTAAAAAATTTATAGCAAATCTAGATAACGGAATCTGTTTCTCAGCACCGTACTTTCTCAGTTGCCAGTTCCTTAAAAAGTTTTTGTTCCGCCATATTTTTTAAAAGTCATTTGGAGAAACAACTTTATTTAACTAGCTGCAATTGTTCCAGAGCTTAATTAGAAGTAGCATATTGCAACTGTTTGGGCACTAACTTCAGGCAAAATAATTACCCTGTAATAACAGTGCGTGCTCTTTTTATTTTATTTTTTATTTTTTAGAGACAGGGTCTTGCTCTGTTGCCCAGGCTGGAGTACAGTGGCACAATCGTAGTTCACCGCAGCCTCGAACTCCTGGGCTCAAGTGATCCTCTCACCTCAGCCTCCCGAGTAGCTGGGACTACAAACACGTGCCACCACACCTGGCTTATTTTTTTACTTTTGTAGAGAGAGTCTCGCTATGTTGCCCAGGCTGGTCTCAAACTCCTCCTGCCTCAACCTCCCAAAGCACTAGGATTACAGGCACAAGCCACAGTGCCTTACCCACAAATGCATATTCTAGTAAGGTTGTCATTATTGTCACAGAGGGCTGGAGAGCGTGTCCTCTTAGAGCTCATAGGGACCCAAGGCTACTCTAGAGAATTCTGAAGCTGCAGGAAAAAATTAAGAAAAAAAATGTGGGTCATAAACCCAGCATCCTTGTACATCATCAGAACCCATCTTGTAATGACAGGAAGTTATTCTATTCCACTAACTCCTGGGGTGAATGCAGTGCTATTTGAACGTAGTTGCCAAGGGTCAGGTGGGTAGGAGACCGTGTTCTCTTTAGTTCACCTCCTCTGCTTATCGGGGCTGAACGTGACCTGGCAGACCTCAGCCCAAGACTGGTGGGCTGATTGGAGTTACCAGGCATCCTGCATGTTCAAGGCATGTCCTGAATTTTGTGACTTTTGTCCTGGCTACTCTATTAATTTGTCAGGATTTCCTAAATGTTCTGTATTCAGCTTTTCCCCCCCCAATCAGTTACAGAATTCAGCAGTAAGAGCTATTTTTCAAATTTAACTGGGCGCCCTATATTTGCAAAATCTGGCAACCCTGTGACTGATGAATACTGCCGCCCAGCCTGTGCTCTTGGTTACTTACTGGTCAAGGCCACGGTCCCCGTGCCCCTCCATTAATAGCCACTTAATAGCACTAATTCGTCTTTTAATGGGCCCGGGGAAGAAATCAGATAACGCCATCTGCAGTTTTCTTCAGTGACTAATGGAGCAAACTTCCTCACGAGCCCTTTATCACAGCTGTTTTGGGCCTAGATCCAGCTGATAGGTTTCTTGATGAAACGATGGCTCTGAATCCCCTGTCTCAGAGCAGCATGCAGCGTGTGTGAGATAATCTGCAGTGACGGCTGATGTGGACAGGAGGGCGTGGCCCCAGGTGGTGATAGAGGCCTCCTTGAAACCCCAGGTGGTGAATCCTTTCTTCCCTCCTCCCTGGCTCACTGCCTTTTTGTGACTCTGGGCTGGCCAGGGCATGGGGAGCTTCTCTGGCCTGCTTGGCCGAAGTGATAATGTCAGAGAGGAGCAGTTACTACTAGTAAGTAACCTAGATTCCCCTTCTACTCTGGCTGCGTCCTGCTGTCTAGATACAGAAAGTATAATTAAGTTTATTATCTGTAACCTGATGCTAATTCCTCCTACATCCTGCCATTGTGCAAAGGGAAAGTTTGGGCCGTTTAAAAAGTAGCTGGACTAAGCTTTAGTATTGTAAGCCCTTTCCAGGGCTATAAAGCAAATCTACTGAATGAACAGAGACATGAGGGACAGTACTCTAGAGTCCTTTAGGGCAGCCCAAATCATATATTTCATCGTAGAAAATGAAAAGTCAGCTGGGCTCGGTGGCTCAGCCTGTCATCCCGCGCCTTTGGGAGCCTGAGGTGAGTGGATGGCCTGAGCCCGCAGGTTCGAGACCCGCCTGGGCAGCGAGACCTCATCTCTACAATAAATCAAAAAATCAGCCAGGCGTGGTAGCGCGCGCCTGTAATTCCGGCTACTCGGAAGGCTGAGGCGGAAGGATCGCCGGAGCCCAGTGGGTCGAGGCTGCGGTGGCCGGGAGCGGCCACTGCACTCCAGTGTGGGTGACAGTGTGAGACTCCAACTCAAAAAAAAAGAAAATTAAAAGTCATGGTATCGTAGCATGTTAACATTGTACATTATCAGTGAGTCGAGGAAGTAAAATTCCGGCTAGGATTCCTGTCGGATTACTTGCATACCTACTCTAGAGTGTTTAATTTTCTTTAAACAAGCAGTCATCAAAATTAGCATGTGGAGTGTAGGACAACGGATACTGAAATAGTGAGTACTTCCAAGCCTAGTGACATCAGGCGACTGTTCAAGCCTGGGAGCTTTTATGTTATGCGTGCTTTCAATGGGGGTAACTTGAAAAAGTCAGCTAAGCAAAGATAAATTGAATAACTTATTAAGACATTGCATCTTGAGGAAAGGATTTAATGTGTACCTTTTCTTTTTTTTGTTTTAAATAGATCTATTAGTGATACTTTTCAAATGTTACTTTCAGATGCTGTTTTTTTGATCTGTGTGTGATCATTTCCTTGATTAATTTGGATAACATCTGCATATAATTCTGTGGATTTTTTCATTGGCAAAACCTCATAGCTTTGCACAAGACTTGGAGAGTTCACATTCCAGACAGTCTGGGATTGTATCTAATTGAAATGCCAAACCTACCAAGGTGCCAGAGCATAAGTGTGTAATTATGTAATTTTCTCTTGATCTTTCAGAGTCTTCCTGAGAGCAATTAATCAGTATGCAGATATGCTGAACAAAAAATTTCTGGATCAAGCCAACTTTGAGCTACAGGTAAGAGAAGAGGTAGCTGCGACCTTTGTGGAAAAATCGTGTTTGAACAAATAGCTGGTTTGAACCAGTATCTTATAGTATTTCTAAGCTTAATTGGTCTCCCATCCGAGGTGTGGAAATGGAATTTATAATATGTACTATTGGAACCTGAGGAGTGAAAATTATGCCTTCAGGGTATTTGCTCAATTTAGCAAGGAAAGAAATAGAGCTGCTTTAGAAACTATTGAATCAGACCGACAAGGAAGGACTCTCTGAGCAGGGAGGCCACCATGTCCCAGTGTGTGTGGCTGCCAAGATGGTCTCAGACCATCATCTTAATGTGGAGAGGAACAGATCAGAGGAGGAGAAGTGGGTGAGCATCACTGAGCCAGCTTGCTTCTAGAACTGTTTTCTCCTGATACTCTCTCGCAGTCTTGTGCTATGAACCAGCAGTGGCTTTTACCAGGCCAAAGACCCTACTCCCCAGACCCCGGGAAAGAGAGAGAGAGAGAGAGAGAGAGAGAGAACCAGAGAGAAAAAATATCCATACATGCACACATGCACTATACAGAGACTGATTTTGCCTGGTAAGATTTCTTACTGTGCATCTAGGATTTGTGACTCTTAGTGCCATTATACTCTGAATGTGTGTTTCTACTAATAATGATCTTATTTGTCATTATTATTACCTACTTTATTGCATTAAAGTTTACAAGTTAAAAAAAAGCATCAGATGCAAATAGTATATTTCTTTTCTGGGCAAGATTGTTCACTGAGAGGAACCTAAAGAATTTATGTGCACCCAGTGGGTGATCCGGCCCAGAAATGTGTTTCCAGATAACCAAAGTTAGCCGTCTACTTGCCCATTTGCATCGCCTCCAGAAAATGTAGAGCAAGTGTGATACTTAGTATATTAGATTAAGTTCTAACGTGACTATGCTACTTTTGTTCCTTTTATAATTTTTCATTTTAAATTTCTGTTGTTTGGGTAATATAGAATATAATTATAGCCGGGCTCGGTGACTCAGCCTGTAATCCCACGCCTTTGGGAGGCTGAGGTGAGCGGATTGACTGAGCCCGCGGGTTCGAGACCCGCCTGGACAGTGAGACCTCATCTCTACAATAAATCAAAAAATCAGCCGGGCGTGGTAGCGCGCGCCTGTAATTCCGGCTACTCGGAAGGCTGAGGCGGAAGGATCGCCGGAGCCCAGCAGGTCGAGGCTGCGGTGGCCAGGAGCGGCCACTGCACTCCAGTCTGGGCAACCAAGTGAGACTCCAACTCAGGAAAAAAAAAAAAAAAAAGAAGAATATAATTATATAATAACATGTCAGATACTGTATATCTAAAATGTTACTTTTTATCATTTTGATTTTATCATTTTCTCTGCTCAATTCTTGTTTCCATGTGTCACAGTAATACATACTTTTTTCATTGCAAAATACGTATGCACTGAAAATCAGTATACCAGGTAAAATACAAAACATTCCCTCCTGCCCCTTTGCTGACTCTCATTTCCCCTGCAGGGGTAACATTTAACTAATTGCTGTACACCCTTCCTCTCACCTAAAGCCTTTCTTAAGAGCCTGTACATGCTTTCTTTTGGCTTTCAGCATGAATTGGATCATACGCGATATGTTTTTCAGCTCTGTCATATTTCACATCATGAACGTCCCAACATTTATTCAGCCATACCTGTACTAAAGACCTATAGGCTGTTTGCAGTTTTTCACTACAGCAAGCTGTGCTACGTGAGGGATTTGATACCCGATCTCAGTACATGCCTTGCAGTAGAAGAACAGCTTGATCTCCAGGCCACGCTGGAGGGAATCTCATGTTTGATGGAAAGTGATAAGTTGACCTCCTAAAACGATTTCGCGATTTTTAATCCTATCAAACCTTCATTGAGAGCAGGCACTTTCTAGACTCTTCTTCAACACACATTTCTTTTTTTTTTTTTT